GACATTTTTATCTCTAAATTTTAAATCACCTTCAGGGCGTTTGACAAAGATCGAATTATGATTTGTTAATTCATTGTCGACAGGACTAATGAATTCGTCTATTTTCAATAATATATTGAAGATATGAATAAGATAATTGTGTGTATACACAACATGTGAACCCAATGGTTTTCTATGCCACAATGATAGCATTTGCAATATACTATCTTTTAACTTCAAATCAATAGTAGTGTTTTCACTATTTTTCCAGCTTCAAGTGATTAATAGTGTATTTGTCAGAATCAACAACATTGCTACTTCAGGAGCAACTTTTATGCATTTTCATATTGCTATTGGCAATATATTTTACTTGCATTAGTAAATATAAGTAATAATATGAGTAAAATAGAATATAAAAGTACAAAGTAAAATATGAGAAGGAGATTTCTTTCTATTAATACATTTTTAATAATATTAATAAATGTATGATAATAAAATAAAGTGTTTTCCTTGCTATCTAAATATCAAAGAAATTAATTTTTTAAAGAAAACATTTTTTTCTTTGCACACATGGATACTATCGGAATTACATACAACTTTATATGAATTTTATACATTCACATGATCAACAATCATTTACATAGCTTAAGAACTGCATCGTGATTGTATGATATCAGTAAATAGAATTTATAACAAGAAATATTTTTCCTTCATATGCAAACCAAATATGCATGATTTATGATTTACCTTTTTCTCCCATCATCATCATTTTGAGTCATTAAATTGAACTCCATGATGAACCGTCTCAGTGTGGCTAGAGACTTGTGCACCGGAAAGTTTTTGAGGTCAGGTCGCTTTAGATCACGAAAACCTTTTAAAATATTCATTGACTTCAGGGCTTCAGAATCAATATGCACCAACTTTAAGGCAGTGCTAGAATTATAATATTCATTGAGGCCTTCAAAATCAATGCGCATCAACTTCAGGCGGTGGTAGAAACTCTTTTGCTTCCTGTTGATAACATGTTATAAAATTAATGCTAAACTAATAATATAAAACTAAGCATAAGAACAAGAGGGAGAGATAAGACACTTGTATTGAGATGTATTTTGAAACATGAATGATCGAGCTCCCTATTTATACAAGGAGTAGGGGATCAAACTGCGGAAAATAAATCAACCTAACATTAATGCTAAATATTACAGAATCATATCTCCTTCATTGTGAATAGAATAATACATATTAATTGTGATTAAATCAAATCAAATATTTCATAACACATATTATTTATTTGTTTTTGTTCTAGAAGAGCTTCCCTGTACATAGAATATTCAGCCTACACATAACAAGATTAGTTGACCCAAATTATCTATCTCAAACTAAAAACCCCAAGATACAATTGTGACAAAATACTGTAAAGTTTTCAAAGAAAACATTCGGCCATACTCAATCATAGCATGGTTCTCATGAGTTATAACTTCACTTAATTCATAAAATTTATTGCAAATGATTTACGCTTAAACCTCAACCAAAAGGGTGTTTGTCATGCCAGCTACAGTACATACACTAATCACAAATACCAAACAACTGGATTTAAGGGTTTCAACTATCAGATCATCTTTTCTGAGCATATCAATGTTGGTATTCAAAGTTGAGAAATTATTAAGCTATCAGTGGAGACAAACCATTATCCCCAACATAACGTACAAATACAAAACTTCTAAGACATGCAAGGAATTATATTGAATCCATTATGCCGAATAAATAAGCATTCAAAAAAAAAAAACCAACACAATGTTAATTGGCAGGAATTCAAAAATGAGCAATGATTAAACAACAGTCCACTGCAAATCATTATTTCCAAAGAAGAGAAAAACTATATAAAGATAATACATATACAATTGATAAACAATTGATAAATATCTCTTAGGTATAATCCTTCAGTATTTTTTAAGTCAGTTGGAACCTGAAAACTTTTTCATCCTTTCTTCTTGTTAAAATAAAATAAAATTGAAACAATTAAACATCAACACTTTAAGATTCACTCAGAAAAAAACACTGAACATACTTATCTAATCCAAACTAGTTTGTTCATGCGTCATAGTGATCCTTCCATCTCCTGCAAATAAGATACTAAATATAAGATAAAACAAAAAGATCAAATTAGACTGACTAACCAGTTGACTGAAGTACGCTTAGCAAAAATTTGATATTAAATACGATGTGACTCTTGGGTATGACTCTGTAACTCTATGTATTCGGTCAGGCTAGATCTTAGAACCTAATGACGAATTGATTTATAAAGCTGGCCTTTTCCTTTCTATTGGTTGCGGCATAATTACAGAGCTCCAAACTCCAAAAAATGAAAAAAGAGCAACCATATTGGAAGCTTTGACATTCCCCTTCGCTTCATTTTCAGCGAGAAGAGAGAGTAAGAGCGTAAAAACAAAGATTACTGTTCAAATTGACTTCTTCAAGTTCTTTATCATCAGACATTTCATATGTTTATATTTATACTGAATTTCGTATCTTAAGGTCAAATGAAAGATTGTTATGGTTCTTTTTTTTTTAAAAAAAAAAAAGTTTTTCTTGATAAAAATTTAGATAATTGATAAGTATTTCATAAGTGGTGCTACACAATTACACCGGATGATTCGGATGATTAAATAGTTTGTCAGAAAGGAAGTCGGAAAAACCTATCTGAACAAAATTATCTTAAGCACCTAATAAGTCACAAAAGTAAACAAGATGAAAAGAAAAAGACACTCCTTCACTTCCAATAAATCCAAATGGCTCGAGTACCAGCTACCACAGCCAAACATGCTTTCAAAAGTTAAGACTTCTCTCCATCAATTTTGTCTTCCAGTTCCAAAAAACTCCGATCGATTTTGTCATCCAAGTTGTTGAGTGCATCCGCCTGTTTGTACTATTCTTTCTTGGTTTTCACATTTGTTGCACGATCTTGTGCATCTTTGGTATAAGAAAGCTTGTCAATATCCTGCTCAACATCATGAGTCATCTTTTCAGCTTCACGATGAAGTTTTAGAAACTCGTCTTTCACCTTGGAGGTTAAATGCTCATGAGCCACTTCTAATTGATATGCAAGCTCCTCCAAGTTCATGTCATTGACTTTCCCTATTGTTTGACCTCATCCCTTGATACTAGATTAGACTCAGAATCCTTGTCTTCGATCACCTCCATAATGGTTGCACCAATGACTTCAGCTTGTTTTGATGTAATCCCTACTGATTCAAGACGTCAGACCACCTTGAGAGAGTCTAAATGAGTTGAAAATTTCTTAAGAGAAGATATGCAGAGAGGTGCCATTTGAGTATCGGAGTAGACGAATTTCGACAATCGAGTCAGCGGCATCCACAACTTCCAGAGGCTAGTCCTCTTCCTTTCTCAATCCGTTGTTTCTCTTTCCTTCAAAACCCTTTTGAGCTGGATATTCGAGATTATTGAGACAGGAAAGGCTGCAACTTCCGGCTAGCTTGAAGCGGACCCAAAATTGAAGATGATGGAAAGCAGAATCGAATTGGCGGACACAAAATTGAAAGAGCCAATCGGGTTAATCATTTTTTATTATTTTCCTATTTATTGATGCAAATTATCTTTCTCAAACTAAAAACCCCAAGATACAATTGTGACAAAATACTGTAAAGTTTTCAAAGAAAACATTCGGCCATACTCAATCATAGCATGGTTCTCATGAGTTATAACTTCACTTAATTCATAAAATTTATTGCAAATGATTTACGCTTAAACCTCAACCAAAAGGGTGTTTGTCATGCCAGCTACAGTACATACACTAATCACAAATACCAAACAACTGGATTTAAGGGTTTCAACTATCAGATCATCTTTTCTGAGCATATTAATGTTGGTATTCAAAGTTGAGAAATTATTAAGCTATCAGTGGAGACAAACCATTATCCCCCACATAACGTACAAATACAAAACTTCTAAGACATGCAAAGAATTATATTGAATCCATTATGCCAAATAAATAAGCATTCAAAAAAAATAAAAACCAACACAATGTTAATTGGCAGGAATTCAAAAATGAGCAATGATTAAACAACAGTCCACTGCAAATCATTATTTCCAAAGAAGACAAAAACTATATAAAGATAGTACATATACAATTGATAAACAATTGATAAATATCTCTTGGGTATAATCCTTGGGTATTTTTAAGTCAGTTGGAACCTCAAAACCTTTTCGATATTTCTTATTGTTAAAAAATAAAAATTGATAAACAAATATCAACATTTTAAGATTCACTAAGAAAAAAAACTGAACATACTTATCTAATCCAACCCAGTTTGTTCATGCGTCATAGTGATCCTTCCATCTCCTGGAAATAAGATACTAAATGTAAGATTAAACAAAAAGGTCAAATTAGACTGACTAATCAGTTGACTGAAATACGCTTAGCAAAAATATTTGATATTAAATACAATGTGACTCTTGGGTATGACTTTGTAACTCTATGTATTTAGTCAGGCTAGATCTTAGAACCCAATGACGAATTGATTTATAACGTTGGCCTTTTCCTTTCTGCAGGTTGCGGCATAATTACAGAGCTTCATTACTCTTTAGTTAACTCCAAAAAATGGAAAAAGAGCAACCACATTAGAAGTTTTCTCATTCCCCTTTGCTTCATTTTCAACGAGAAGAGACAGCATGAGCGTGAAAACAAAGATTATTGTTCGAATTGACTTCTTCAAGTTCTTTATGATCAAACGTTTCATATGTTTATGTTTGCACTGAATTTCGTATCTTAAGTTCAAATGAAAGATTGTTAGGGTTTTTTTTTTTAAAAAATAAGTTTTTCTTGATAAAACTTCAGATAATTGATAAGTATTTCATAAATGGTGCTACACAATTACGCCGGATAATTCGGATGATTAAATTGTTTGTCAGAAAGGAAGTCGGAAAATCTATGTGGACATAAATAATCTTAATCATCTAATAAGTCTCAAAAGTAAACAAGATGAAAAGAAAAAGACACTCCGTCACTTCCAGTAAATCCAAATGGCTCGAACACCAATGTTAGCTACCACAGCCAAACATGCTTTCAAAAGTTTAGACTTCTCTCCATCAATTTTGTCTTCCAATTCCAAAAAACTCAGATCGATTTTGTCATCCAAGTTGTTGAGTGCATCCGCCTGTTTGTACAACTCATTCCTGGTTTCCACATTTGTTGCACGATCTTGTGCATCTTTGGTATAAGAAGGCCTCTCAATCTCCTGCTCAAGATCATGAGTCATCTTTTCAGCTTCACGACAAAGTTTTAGAAACTCGTCTTTCACCTTGGAGGTTAGATGCTCCTGAGTCACTTTTAATTGATATCTAAGCTCCTCCAAGTTCATGTCATTGCCTTTCCCAATTTTTTGACCTCATCCCTTGATACTAGATTAGATTCAGAATCCTTGTCTTTGATCACCTCCATAATGGTTGTACCAATGACTTCAGCTTGTTTTGATGTAATCCCTGCTGATTCAAGACGTCGGACCACCTTGAGAGAGTCTAATTCCATGGATACCCAGATACGAAGGATCTGAAGGCCGATCTTGAATTCGTGAAAAAAAGCTTGAAGACTTGGAGAAATGGTTGAAAACCCAAAAAAAAAATGATGGGTTCTTCTGGATCAGCTGCAGCGAGTGGGAGTGAAGGATATGACCGTGAGATTGTAATAAATTAGTTAATTCTAGCTGATATTTTGTTATGTCTAGAATCTGGATATGTTCTTAACTATTAGTAGTTAACTTGTAGTATGGGTATGCATCTTCATTTACTCAAATTTCGAGAAACTATTTTAATTTTCCCAAAAAGCTACTTGTGGAAATTTAATTTCTATTCTAAGATTAAAAAAAACATTATTTTGTAATTTATTTGATGTAACTAAACAACATATTACGCTCTCTATACTTTTGTTTATTCTGGTTAAAATCAATTACATTCGAGAAAAAAACAACAACATTATGTACCCGTGCGAAGGCACGGGTTCAAAACCTAGTTATATAAATTATAGCTTTAAAAGAAACACTTCCTCAATTCACTAAAATAGTATCGTGATGCACTTTTTTTTTTTTTGATAAGTGATTAGTCTTGATGATTTCTCCTTTTTTTAACCAAAACCAAGAAGAGAAATTCCTTCAAATTAAAAGAAGTAAATAAATAAAAAAAAAACCAAAAAAAGAAAGAAGAGAAGAGATGGGAAGTAGTTGTAGCTGTTTGTTTGCAGCACAAATCCAAAAACCAGAAAGAGTAGTTGTTTGTTTTTTGGCAAGCATACAAATCCAAAAACCAGAAAGAGCATTTGTTTATTTTTTGGCAAGCACAAATTCAAAAAAGATCAGTTATAATTTTATTTATGTTACCTGGTTTACATAAAGATGTAAATACAGAACGAGCAGTGAAATTTTAGCTTATTGTTTCTATGAATTATATTTCAATTTTATTCTATGGAAAAAAAGATACAAAACAGTTTATTAAAAATGTATATACATACCGCACAATATGCGCGGGTTCAATATATAGTATATTATTAAAGAATGGTACTCCCTTTGTAGAAAAAAAAACAATTATTTAATTTGTTGAATCAAAACTATACAACAAATGGGTTTTTATTTAAGAAGATGGTGAAATTTTGTTAAACATAGTTGAACTTATTTTTATTGATTGACTATTGTTTTACTTATCACACAAATTCTTACTTATTATCTCTATCAACTTCCTCAGTTCACACCCTTTCAAAAAAAAAAAAAAATTATCAATTCACTAAATTAGTATCGTTATGCACTTTTTTATTGAGACCAACACATATCGATGTGTAATACACCAACTGTTCCATGATTCACTTTTGTTATTTTTTTTCTTACAAAATGTATCTAATCTCAATTTTAATTATAAATAGTTTCATTCAATATTTAATCAATGGATATGAATTGCCTTTCAAAAAGTTTGTATATCATTTCATATTTCAATAAAAAAAAATCATTTCATATTTCAATTTGTAAATAAGAAATGTTACTTAAGTGGTTTGACGGAAAATGATACTCTTAGTGAAATAATATAGTGAGAAAATATAGTGACTGATGTGTACCCCCTATTTTGTTGTCACTTTGCCGTTGAAAATTTTCTTTCCCTCCAAAGTTTCCCTTTTACCCTTAATTACTATAGACACACCAGCACTATGTATTTTTCACTATTTATTTTCACTATCTGTATCATTGCTCGTGGTTTGACTTATTATTAGTTCATCTTTTCCATCTCTCGGCTTGAGTAATATCGTTTACTTACTATATTTAAAAGGAAAAAAAGAACCAATTTACTTAATGTTCCAAAGTCCAAACCAACAAGTTTCCTACTTCATTATTCTTTTTTAATACGATTAGGTTCATCTTCTTTGTTAGTTACATAAAAGTTACGTGACTGCAAAATCATCATAGATCCATAGGGAACCAACCCGACCCTTTCATCTAGACATTATCACCAAATTTATATGGGCTCAATTTCACATTGAAACTTAAACAAAACCTATTATCAAACTAATACAATATTGATAGAATTGATATTATTGCTAATATGACAATGCTCTTAGAATTTTGAAAATCCTATGAGTTGATTTTGGCTAGAAATAAAGGTTTTCTTGTTTCTATTTGTTTGAAATTTGTCACTTTAGCTTCACATACTTTTGTTCTTTGTTGTGAAATTTGAATTTCATATTTATGACATTCTTAATTTATTTCGTGTTTTTTTATATATTGATACAAATATTTAGGTGAATATGTTTTTGTAGAAGCCTCATACATGTGTTATGCATTTGCATTAAGTTTAATTTTGTTAACTCATCCACCGAAGATCTTAGAAAAAGAAGGTTGATCTTATTCTTTAATAATATCTAAGACTCGTTTGAGTGGTCATTTAGATTGTAATTAGTTTAGTTAGAAAGGGGTTTACATTTTGGAAACAAATTCATTGAAATGTATCTTATGTGTGTGTGTTTATACTACTTTAGAGGCACAATTATTCTAGTTAGAGTTTCTTATGTGCAATTTGTTCATGATAAGGAGTATCATACATGATGTATGGTGAAAGACAAGATATGTATTGATATCATCAATGGAAGAAGTTGTATCAATTACACTAGTGAAGAGCTCGTGGATTGATTGAGATTTCTAATAATCCATCAATTATATCACTATATATTACAAAGGTCGGATAATAGCGGCAAGTTCAAGGTGACAAGTCAAGTGAAGGTATTGTTCAGTATGAAAAACTATGTGGACAAGGTATTTTGAGATGTAATTCCCATGAAATCTTGTTATGTAATGGTTGGTCGCCATGGGAGTTTAATAAAGAGTTTAATGATGGTAACTCCAACAAGTATACTCTTTTGAATCATGGAAAACCATTTATTATAAGTCCACTATCTCCATCAGAAGTTATGAATGCTCAATAAAAATTGAAACTGACAGAGAGAAACGTGCCAAAGAACACGAGTTATAAAGGTTTGAAGAACAAAGATATGCTAAAACACGTGACATTTGAATTTCAAAGAAGACAATTGAAGAAGTGGAGTTTGGATCTCCTGACCCACTTTATTTGCCCCACTTTATAAAAGTACATAAATCTATAACGAAAAACAAACCACGTAACTTAATTCGATGTTGGCTTATCTCATCGGTTTCATTAGCGGCTCACTCTATATATATATATATATATATATATATATCTGTGTGTGTGTGTGTGTCTTTTTCTCTTTCAATGCTGATGTTCTTCACCTTTGAGAAATGAGGTCGAATTCCAATTTTCAAACTTCTGAGTTTTGATTCATTCAGTTCTTTTTCTTTTTTCTTCCACTGCATTTTCAATCTTATGATTTCTTATAATATTGTTAAGAGTTTTTTATTTCATAAGTTAATTCAACAAGAAAAGAGAGAGATTGGTACCCGATTGACAAATGCACCTTTCAATTCATTACATTTGGATTGACCCCTTCTTGAGAATGCTATTAGATTTTGGGGTTAGGGTATTTTTTCACTGTTGTCTTGGGGGGAACATAGATTTACAAGTGATATAAATATTTGGAATTTTCATTACGAATTTTTCATTTTAGGTCTAGTGGTTTCTTCTATTACTGTGAGTTGAATGTTTGTCTTTCACAATTTGTTTACCTAGCTATAAAAAAAAGTAAAATTTATCAATTACATGCAACCAGTATTTTTTTTTTATGTATTTCTTTCTTTTTAATTATTTTTTGGAACTTTAGGGCTATTGTGGTCGTAATGTTGAGTAAGAAGTCATTATTTTTTGCACAATATCGGAGTGCTGATACTAAATTACGACTCCCTTGCTTTTGGAATCATGAGCATGATAGATTAGCAAGCACATTTTTTTATTCAACGAAAAATTACTTGGATATCTTGTTTGATTCATTCATTGTGATGTGAAATTACAAATGTATGATGCTAAAAGTATCCTATCTATAAATAAGATATGCACTAGCCTGGATGAAGAACAATTATAGCATCAGTACTTGTTATGAGATAATGAGCCTATGTTTACAGCTCCTAAGAGTCACATTATCACAGTAATATTCCCAAAGTCCGCAAAACTGTGAAATCCAAGCAACTAAGTCATTCTTGACAATCAAACACAAAGTTACAAAACATAGTTGTCCTCTTTGATTTCAAATAAACAAAGTGGCGGCTTTAACCCCAACTTTACATTTAAACATTTCATGTTTACCAAAGGAAGCGTTTAACATGCTGAATAAATGGAAGCAAGAATTAAAGCAGTTATATTTTGAAGAAATAAGCATCTTCAACAAAGAGAAACAGTAGAGATTAAACGCAAGGGCTAGAGACATTTTCACAAAGAGACACGTTCGTGTCTTTTATGATGAGAAGTGACTAGCTACACTGTCAATAAAACAGTGAATAGGGAAGGCACCAAAAATAGAGTCATGAGCTGATATAGTATGCTCAGAATACATGATTAAGGTACTAACCCAAAAAAAAAACCCATGATCATTTTATTTTTCAGCTACAATTAGTTCAATTTGTACACTTCTAAGATACTATAGGTGTAAATCACATAAAATTCTAAAGTAGAAAAGAGGAAAACTTCAAAATTCACCAGCCACAAAAAGTGTTTGAATGGACAGAAAAAATTGCACATAAACATAGAAAATTCTTTTTGCTAAAAGGAATATCAACTCCAAAATTTAAAACACAAAACACCGAAGGGGTAATATTCTATAAACCACTAGATTTAGAAAATCTTTTAAGAAATAGTTACTTTGCATATCATTTGAAAATTGAACTCCCCTTCCTGAAACACCATAAAAAAATTAACCTCAACACAATTAAGTGACATACTATAAAAGTAATTATAGCCAAGGAAACTCCAAATTATTGGAATTGTGTTGAAATTTAGTTATTCCAGGAATAACTCTAGATATCTTCTCATCAAACTACCTCAGAAATTTCAATACATTTCACCCTATATGCAAGATGGAAAAAGAAAAAC